TGAAAAAAGAAATATATCAATAGCGTATTTTCAGGAGTTAATGCACAACAAGAACCTTCTTACTTATTTTGCTTATTTTTGCCTTATTAAAACACTGAAGCAGACCAAAGCCATAAATGGGTTAGTAATAATCCAGAAAGGAAAATTGTTTCTCAATTAGAGTTCCTCCTTTGAAATGTGCAAACCGAGGGATTCAAACACTCTCAGTGGGATTTCTTCACATGGTTCATTTTTGGAATCCTTTTTGCATTTTTCTGAGCTGTCGGATCTCAGCCCAAAAGCCCGCCGATGCTTAGAGTTGGATGAGGTTAGGACGAAAGGCAGCTCAGAGAATCAGCAAGGCTCAGTGCAAAGAGGTCATCTCCCCAGGAGTTGTCCACACCTCCTAGGAGGACCCCGGGGCCACCCTGGGCCCTGCATAACCTTGGGAAGGTAGGGTCTTGAAGCTGTCCCAGTGTACTTCAAAGCTGCCCTGGGCAGAGGGTGAGAGAGTGTACGACGTCACAGGCCTAGCGACAAAGTAAAGGAGACCAGCAGCTGCTGCTTTAGATTTCTTCCTATATGGATGCACTGTGAACAGGCTAGTTTTTGTCAGAAGATATAATTAAAACCTCAGAAAAGGAGGTTATCTCATCCTTTCCGTATTTGTACATCTTCACTGAAATACCTTCAAAACTATATAACCGAGCGGACCCTGGGTGGCTGTCGGTTGAGCGTCTGCCTTCGGCTCAGGTCATGATCTCAGGGTCCTGGGATGGAGTCCCATATCCGGCTCCCTGCTCGGCGGGGAGCCTGCTTCTCCCCCTCTCTGTTCCTCCCCCTGCTTGTTCTCTCTCCCTCAAATAAATAAAATCTTTAAAAATAATTATATACCAGAAAAACTATAATGGTGGCTAAAATCTGAATACGGTTTGCTTTAAGGCTGTCTTCATGTCCTAAAAATTATGGTGAACAGCCTCTGGTTTAAGTTTCAACAGCAAGTCACGGAGTAGATTTGAGTGTGTAATAATCAAATCCTGGTCAACAGACCTGTTGATGCACGGAGTCAGCAAAAAACAACCAAGCCAGGCCAAGCACAGAAGGCAGAAGCGAGACTTCCCGTCCCTTGCCTGGCCACCTGATTCATAAACCTTTTCAAAGACGACACCAGGGAAGGTGTGGATAAAAGTTCAAAAAAGCATGTCCGTTTCAGAAGTTATTGCAAAATGATCTAGAGTTTCTCCTCCACTGGCAAGCAGTGCCAGGACCGGGCCGTGGAGCCAAGCCACAGAGGGCGTGTGCTGTGCGGACACCGGGGCAGGACGACGCTCCATGGGATGCCTGTGATGGGCAGGAATCCCAAGCCGTGAATACAGCATTTGCAAGGGGGACTCGTGTTTGAAATTTCCCCTCCATATGTACATGAGGGAGCACATAGTCTCTCCACACAACCAACTTTGTCACACTCTCTCGGGAGTATCAGATTAATGGTAAGGTCATTCTTTGCCTCCTCAAGAGTTCTCTGTCAAGCTAAGAGAAAACGACAGCATAGCCACCATCATTTTGCTGCATTGACTTTCCTCATCTGTGTGTCGATCAGCCACAGCTTACATGTCCATCTATATACCCAGGGCTGGCGTGGAGGTACCACTGGATCCGTCTAGAATCACCTACCCATCATCCCTCCCCCTGCTTTCCTCTGCCTTTATTTGTACCCCATCCCCCGAGCCTTGAACTCACGAACGTTCTCCCCTGCTTTTTTCACATTCTTTCCAAGCTACCGCTTGGAAAGAGATCTTCCCAAGCTACCGCTTGGAAAGAGATCTTCCCAAGCTACCGCTTGGAAAGAGATCTTCCCACGATATTGTTTCTTTCTTTTGGGTCTTCTTTTTTTTTTTTAAGCTTCCTCTTATTTTTAGATGTTTATTAGTATTCATACTTATGGAGAAATTGAATGTTCAAGCACTGTAATCAACTGCTTAATCATAGAATATGATTAATCATAGAAAGGATTGCAAATGGCCTTGGTAAGTATGAACAGGGACCATTTAAATGTTTGGCAATCTTATAGGTTAAAAAAAAAAAAAGAAAAGTACTCAGGATACTAGGAGAGACGAGTATTAGTTTTATGTTGGAGTGAAGTACAAGGTGAGCCGGGCTGTGAGATACGGAGATTTCTGTCTACGCTCCTTGTCCAATAACTTAATGCAGCTAGCACAACCATTTTTTGTGGTTTAAACTTTTCAGGGACTAAACAGAGACACATCAGGGGCACAATAAAGTTCATGAACTTCTAGTCGCCGTTCCTAATTAAGGTTCGAGGTCTGAATGGAGCATAAGGCAGCCCAGCGCCAGCACCCAGGGCAGGCTGCTTTATTTTTATGTTGTTTTTGTCTCTGCAGTGAGATGAGTAAGATTTGCTCCTAATAAAGGTAAATCAGGAGAAAGAGAAAGAAAAGGAAAGCGTTTTAGCTGCGCCACATCAACCGAAGGTGACATTTTATGGGTCGGTGTGAAGACCAAAGGGCGGTCTATCGTCATAAAACCGAGTTATTGCCCCTCGTCATCGAGAGAGCATCGCTTGCGAGCTTCAGGTGAGTCCTTTTGAAGCAGCAGTCTGAGAGAACGCCCCTCCCACAGCGTGCCCACTGCTGGGTCCTTTCTGCCCAACCTCCATCAATAACACCTGTTCCAGACCACCCAGAGGCCAGGGCAGACCATTTCTTCTTCCCGACCGACCTACCCTTTCTATAGCCGAGCTAGCAGGAGGGGAAGCCATTTCCAGTCAGGTTTCATTTTCAATAGAGCAAATCCTATTTTCCCAATAAATGGAGTTGAAAACATCGGTGAGGAAAGGATTAACCAACCCCGTGGGCTGCTGGCCTTGCGCCACATCTTTTGAGTGTCTGTGACATTCATTTGTGCAGTGGAAATGCTAGTCTATGAAAGGAATTACTGCTCAAACCGCTTACTTCCAAACCTAGGAATTACTTGTCAGATGTTGACTTAGAACAAGGTAAGCCTGTAAGAAAGTCCTACAGTAGATGAGACCCACTGTCCATGATGTCTGAGATGATCCTGCTTAGAGAACAGAGGAAATGGCTTTACTCGGGACCACGCACTTCAGGGTGCAAGTTGAGGCCACCACATCCAGAAATCGGATATTCGCAACCTCCTGAGCGTTAATCTGGAAACCCCACACATTGTACAATGTATCCATTTTAAGTTTACCTTCTCTTTAATGACTTAACAGAAAAAAACTGCATGATGAAATAGATTTTCTCCAAATATATATATATTTATATAATATATAATCTTAGTTAACTCAAAGGTATATACATTGTATAATAAATAATATTTATAAAAAGAGACTTTTTGAATATAAAATCAAAAAGATCAACAACTTCTACAACTTTTTACAAAACTTTGGATACAGCAGGTCGGTAGGAAATTTCGGTTGGATACTATTACCTGACTACAGCGAGAATAATTACAATGTGCTCAGTGTACTATTATTAAATAATTACTTGTCAGCTACTTGAATACGCCCCAGAAACATGACTTTATCACTTTTAATATAGAATACATAGATATGAAAAGACTGTTCTGAAAATTTGTATCCGTTCTGCTGAAATAATTCTCACATAAAGCAAGCATTATCCGGTTGACATGATTGAAAACTTTTCAGTCTAAGGTGAGATGGGGAGGGGCATTTCGGACTCTCCGGACAGGGGATGGGATGTGTATCTGTAGCCGGGCTTGTTGCCCACAGATTCAAGAGTGCGGGCATGGCTTCTAGACGGTCTTGGCAAGCCTGCCTGAGTAGAGCAGGAAGATCACTTGACCCAACAGCTGAGGTCAGTGTTAGACCAAAGAGAGAAGGGACTAAAGAAAGGAAGAAACAACTCTTTTCCTGTCTCTATCCCTGCCGCCTCTCTTCTTCCTGATTCTCCCTAAGACAGAGCTGTGGCCTGGGTTTGTGCTGTCCGATCCGCTGGCCTCCGTTCAGGACTCTTGAGAGGACCTGCGTGGAGCACGGGGAGCTCAGCGGAGAGAGGTTTTACCGGAGGGAGCAAGTGACTGCTTGCCCGCCTTCGAACACCTCCTCCAGATCCTTGGGAACTGCGTGGACTGGTGGGCTCTCTGCACACAGGTGAGGCCAGCAGGTGTGTGTTAAAGAACTCTGCGTTTCTCTTTTACCCGCACAGGCCAAAGGAGGGAAAGGAGGCCGGAAGACAGGTCTTTATCGGAGAGGGAACTAAGGAGCCGTGTTATCCTCCCTAGCTACAAGTCACCAAGTTGGAGCATCAGGAATCGGCCGCTGCTCTGTCTCTGACCCTTTGTCTGATTTCTACCCAGGCGACCTAGACTCCCAGCTGCTCTCCCTGGAGTTGTTTGGGTGGGGAATCTGCCAGGGAGCAGGGCCGGGAGGGAGTGAATGGCCCCTTCTAAAGATACCGCTTCTTTCTTTAGGAAGCCCAATGGAGCTGCAGAAGGCTCACCACCCCCTAAACATAACCTATTTACATCGGTTCATCCTTTAAAAAAAAAAAAAAAAAAGGCCCCAAGCCCTGCCCTGCATTCCTGGTAGACAGCGCGGAAGGGGAGCAGGAGACCCGGAGCTGGGACTGCGGTTCACAAGGGCCTCGTGTGTGGAACAGGGCTGCAGAGGAAGCGAGACTGAGAACAAGACCCAGCCGCTCTTCCAACGGCCTGCCAGGCCACCCAGCGCTCCTGCTTCTTCAGGACTCCCAAGCCCACCCCCACAATTGCTTTGGGCCTCCCTCCCACTGGATCCTAGCTAACCCTATGGCTTTCGTGAGAATGTGGAGGTCTATCAGATCTGAGCAGGAGGAGACAGAGAAAAGGAGACTGCTGGGCTCTGTCCTACTTCATAACGCCCACCGCACAGGCATCTTGCATGGCACCAGGAGACGCCTTCTGGAAAGAGAACCTTGCCCCAGCCGAGGTCTTCACCACCAGGCAGAGAGCTCACGGCAGCCCAGCCTGTTCTGTCGGAGTAGCATTTTTTTTTCCATTTTTATTTTCTTTAACATGTGCAAAGATAAGCCTGGGGTCTGTTCCTATCAGACCCTAGAGAACTAAAAAGAAAGCCCCTTCTTTAAAAACCACACACCATCCACAGCAGGGTGAGAAACTTAAGAGAGAGGGCGAGGGAGGCCTCCCCAGCATCGGGCAGCTCGGGTCCAGGTCATTTACCGCACGGGCGTCTGGCAACAGTCCGGGTGCCTGGCTGCCTGGTGCTGAGGGCTGAGCCCGGCTCCAGGTCCTGCTTTCCCATGGGACTTCGGTGACTCTGCCCAGCCACACACTTCACCCGTTCCCAGTGCCCTTTGGAAAACAAAGAGGGAGAATCAGACTTTAAATCCCTTTCTCGGAGGAACTGCCCATTGGGGTATCGAGATTAGAGGCTGCAGATGGGAGAGCTCGTTGTTTCTCCTGTACTCGGGGGCAATGGGGAACTCAAGGGGCTTTCCTACACCCCCTCCTCTGCTCTGGGGGGGTCTGCTGCTAAGGGAGAGTGCGGGATTTAAACAGGATCAGGAGGGCTTGGGCCACCGCTGACTGGGACCCAAACCCTACCTGCTCCACCTTCTGGCAGGGAGCTTGGGCAGCAGCCCCCAGGCAGGAGTCTACCTTGTAGAGAGACTGAAGGCCTCTCCGGTCCGGGGCCCATTCCCCGCTAGAGTAGACGTGGGCACTGTGCTTTTCTGTCCCACCAGTGGTTTGATAATGAGCTGTCTACACAGGAGCAGGGCTATTTAATTAACTATGAATAATTCCTTCCCGGGGGAGCACCAATGTGTACCTCTTACTCATTTGTGTATTTACATCTCACCAAGGATGAGAGGCCCAAAGCACTTTCATGGGCATTCCCAACCAACCTTCCATTCCCGGGGGTGGACAGGGCCAGTGGAAGACTATTACACTGGGGCAGAACCGGAGCCTCAGCAAGACTAAGCGAACACGTCCCAAGGTTTTGTGGCAAGTTAGTGACAGATCCAGCACTTGGGGCCAGCCAGACCCCCTGCCTCTTGTCCAGAGAGAGCCCTCTCCAGCTTACTGTGGCTCACAACATCTGAATAACAAGGAAAATGCCTGGTACTTGCAAGGTAGGCAATCGGCCGGTTGTTAGGCCGTTAGCACCAGACAGCTGGACAGAAGCCACAGGCAATGGAAAAGATGTTTTCCCCACCAGGGAAGGACTGGGAATCTCCCCGTGGCCTAAAGCCGTTTTGACTGGGGCTCCCCACCGAGTGTGTGGAAGGCATATGTCCCTGTCAGCCTGTCTCGAAGGTTCCCCTGTTGCCTGCAGTGTCTGTGTGGATGAAGGGAAAGGAGAGGTAACCAGGTCTCAGCCAATCTGGGGCCTGTGGTTCAAGACCAAGCACTGCGCCTGGAGAACGTCGCTCGCAGAGGTCAGCCCTGTCTGGTCCGGGGAATCTTTGCTGCCTCCTTGGACCATGAACCAGGCCCAACCCTGGGGTTATCCAGCCTCTGGTCCACACAACCACCCCTCTGTTCTCAGATGAGGGAACCGGGGCACAGAGAGGCTCCCCAGCCTGCCCCACATCACTCAACAGTTGAAAATTTGTCCAAAGGGCACCACGTGGGGAGAGTCCTCCACTTGTCCCAGAGCAAGGGCTCCAGAATGCCCAGAGCAGAGGGGCGGGGGGCCCTGATCTGCCTAAATAAGGCATCTGAGACCATGTCTCTAAGACTGGAGAAAACAGTATTGTCCTTCAGAAATGGGAGGAAAGAGAGCTGAGGATGTATTAATTCCTCCTAGGATCAGCACTAATTATACGGGTGGCAGGCAGGAGAGTTTTCCGGATACTGAGGGTCAAACCAGTCCCTCCCTCCGCTGGTTGGCAGATGGCTTCTCTTGGCGGCCTCCCCCCACCCTGCCCTGGGAGGGGAGGCACCAGAACACCTACTGCTTCTACAGTCCCAGCCGGACCCACACGGGAAGTTCAAGGTCCCTATCCTAGCAGTGGGTCCGCCATTAGGGCTCTGGCATCCTAATTCCCCCTCAGCTGCCCCTCAGTCCTGCTTGGGGACCCCACGCTGGCTCTGGCCACAGTGGCCACGCTACACTGAGCCCATGAATGCGTTCATATTCGCGGATTTTTTTCTCTCACTGTGAGAAACAGGAAATGAAACTCGCCCAGGCGATGACACCGTCTCACTGCGCAATGTCACCCTCACGTCACAGCTCTCTTGATGGCAGTTATCACTCCCGATTAGTATCAGATTCAGACAAGCATTCACTTCTGGTAGCTCCCTGGGGCCTCATGAAACTTCCGTTAGGCTCCTGATGCCCCGGTACGGGTGAGGAAACTGGACTTCGGGCTTCCAGGGCCGGTACGTGGCAGAGCTGGGCCACCTGCGTCCCCTCTCCACCGGCCACATGGCGCCCACTTAGACACGAACAAAACTGTGCCTCCGGCTGCCTTTCTGAACCCTGTCCCTGCCAGGTCCTAACTCGAGCTCCACTGAGGGGCCTCCCAGAGGGACTCACCCAGAGCTGTCCCCAGGATGTGGGGGCCTCCACACTGCAGAGAGGCCCGGCCCCTCCCCCAGGCCCACATAGTGTGGACCGGAGCCACCAGCTCCGAGGTGCCCTCTGTGGAGCTGTGTGACCCAGTGGGGTGCTCGCCCCTACCCTGTTCCAGGGGGATGACCCAGGCAGGTATGTTCTTCACAATGAACCAAGCACTGTCCCCACAGCTCCTCCGGGGAGGAAGATAGATAAGGAGGCAGATCTATAAAAACTCTCTTATTGGGGTCCCCCAGCTGGCAGGTGGTGGCAGTTGGACCAGGGCTCACGCCTTTATATACTAGGCTCCTTCTCAGGTAGAGAAAAGGGAGAGAGGGCACAGTGGCCTTGGACCTTCCAGCTCCCAGACTCCAGGACCACCTTACATCAGTCCTGACCTATGCTGGGGACCGATGGCTCCAAGGGCCAGGCACCGTGTCTCCCACGCAGGCCACCTCTGGGAAGCTTGGGAACATAACCCACTGGCCTTTGATCCCTTGATTACTCACCACCACCACTCTGAACTTGAATCCCTCCTCCTCCTCCCCATCCCCTTCCATAAACTCGGTGAGAGCGCCCCCGCTCCACCCAAGCTTCAGATCTGTCAGGATATGGGCTGATACACCGCTTCCCCCACCCACCTCCTCAAGGTCAGTAGGATTTATGCTTGTGCAAAAACTTGCCCTCAAAGTTCAGGGTGGATGCAAAATGACTCTGCCCCGGGGTGAAAGAGAGAGGATCTTTGGCCTATTATTTCAACTATTTTAACCCTCTCGTTTTAGGGTAAGAAAACTGAGGCCCATGGAAATGAAATAACAGGAAATTAGGGACTTCCTGGAACAGGGCACAGTTGAGACCAGAAGTCAGGTGTCCTGGCTTCCAGCCCCACAACGTCCCTCCTCTGGCTCAGAGCCTCCAGATGCTCAGTAATGATGGCCAGTGGCCATGCAAACATCTGACCTGGCTCATAATTTACTAACTTGTATACAAACATTAGACAATTTCGCGCAGTCTTGCGTACACATGCTCAGCTGGTATCCGTACTTTGCGTAATCCGCCCAAAGCTGCCCAGGGACCATCCCCACAGATGCTCGGGGAAATCCTGGCTTCCTGCTTTGGCCGTGGAAACTTGGGTATCTTGGACAGCTCAGAAAGAGAAGTGGATTAGTCAGGAAGAGGAGCTGGGAGAAAAGGGTCCCTGTCCCAAGGCCCCGCAGCCGCCCCACCCTCGGCCCTACCTGGCTCCCTACTTGCAGGTGTGCACATCGTAGATGCGGACGCACTCCTGGCAGCTCACGTAGCAGCACCAGTGGAAGATGCAGTGGCATTTCTCCTTCCGCTTCTCCGTCCTCGTGTTGTGGCCGCGGCCACAGCACAGCAGGTCGCAGCCATCGATGCCGTGGGAGGTGACATTGCAAGTCCGGTCCCTGGTGCCAAAGGAGCCCGTCTCGGGGTTGGGCTCGCAGAAGTTGGGGGAGTTCTCATAGTAGACCAGGTCCCTCTCGGTGGGCGGCTTGAACAGCGCGTACTTGGCACGGAGGGTCTCCACCCAGCCGCGGGATTCACGGTGCTTCTCCACCACCATCTCCGAGGCACTGTCGTACTTGTCCTTGAGGAAGTCGCCGATAGCGCGGAAGTCGGGTTGGGCCCACCAGCAGGTCTTGACCTCACAGCTGCCAGACAGCCCGTGGCACTTGCACTTGAGGTGCATGTGGTCCAGGATGGTCTGGAGAAGAGGAGTAGCTGCTGGCCCCCAGCACAACCTCACTCGGGAGCGCACCTAGGCCCTCCCGCTCTGCCCCCGCCCACCCCATCCCTGGAACCTTCTCTATTTCTACTGGGGGTCAGGAAGAAAACAGATTGGGGCTGAGGTATGGACCTAAAGAATGATGACCATTGTTTCCCTCCCTTCACAGCCCAAGCATTGGCAGAAATCGCAGCCATTTCTCAAAGCTGTAGGAGATAGGGATTGTGAACCCCATTTAACAGATGGGGAAACTGAGACCGGGAGCGTAAGTGACTTGCCCTAGGTCAGACAACCAGAGGAAGCCGTGGAGGTTGAATTCAAAGTCAGGCCCTCCCGTCTTCATGGCCCTGCCTAGGCAGCCCAAGTGCACCAGATGGGCTGGCGGGGACCTGCTCCATGGGGTCTGCCTCACTACTGAGCTGACAAATCCCCGGGCAGGCGCAGATGGGGAACAGCCCAGGGAGAAAGGGTGAACAGGACGGGTGATTGTGGGGGTGTGAGTGGAGGCCAAGTTCTGCCAAGGGGAAAGAGGAGAGTAGGGAGCCCGGGATGCACAAGGTCCACTGGAAGGGCAGGGTGGGGCAGGGGCGAGGCCAGGCGGGAAAGGCAGGGACAGGGTCCGCAAAGGGGTACCAGGCAGGGTCGGGCGAGGACAGCCGCAGCTCACCGTGCGGCCCGCCTCGTTGTTGTGCTTGTTCATGGCTGAGCGTGCGTCTGGCCTGTTCTCGCGCGCGTCTGCGAACTCCCGGGACACGAGCACCCCGAAGTCGGCGTCCTCGCTGCAGCCGCCCCACTTCCAGCCCTCGCCAGGCGGCCCCTTGTGGTGCGAGTCACAGCCGCAGATGGTGGAGGTGCCCTCAGCACAGGAGCGTGTGACGGCGAAGGCCACACCGGCAGAGGCGATGGCGTGCACGAAGGCCGACTCGCGGGTGGCTGTGGGGAGGCCAAGGCTCAGGCGGGGTCCTGCCTCGACCTCCCCAGCCGGGAAGAAGGGCTCGCCAGCCCCAAGGAAAGAGGGAGGAGTCGAGGTACTCTTCCCACCCCATTTGGCTGGCCCAGCCTCTGAGGTATCTGCACTTTACAGATGAGCAAACTGAAGCAGGGGGCAGATAACTGATTAACCCAGGGCCCTAATACCTGGTACTGGTCAGAGCCAAGCCTGCCAGAAGCAGGGGCAGAAACTATAGCTCTGGCCGGTTGCTTTAGAGGTGAGGTGGTCCTGCTCCATCCTGGCCCCAGGCCCCCTACCCTCTACCTGCCCCAACTCCAGAGACTGAGAGAGCACGGGCCTGAGCCCTCCCCATCCTGAGAGAGCCTGGGGCCTGCAGGAAGGAAGCCTGGGAACCTACTGCCTAAACTACCCAAGTCCACCCCATCCCCCACCTAGATGCACTTGGGCAGATCCCTTCCTTTTCTGGGCCTCAGTTACCCTCTTTGTAAAACGGGTATAACTTCCCTTTGCCACCAGAGTTCCTGACCAGGAGGAGAGTGGCCCCAGTCCCATGCCCACTCCCTGCCATCAGGGGACAATCCCTTGAAGGAAAAGAACTTCTCAGGGGTGTCCCCCAGCTTCAGGATCCTGATCACCACCTTTGGGCGCTCAGTATGCACCAGATTCTGCCCTTCAGGTTCTTGATCTTATTTAATCCTCTTAATAAGAGCAGAAAGGCTTAACACAGAACCATTTTACAGATGCAAACATTGAGGATTAGAGGGCCAAGGCCTGGGAGACCTGCAGTCCAACCATCTCTCTCCGGACAGGCGAGAAACCCAGATTGGGCGGTGACACGCCCGAGGCCACGCAGGCCGGCCTGGAAGCCAGAGCTCCCATGCCGGGTGCTGAGGGATCGCGGCTCCGCACACAGGCGGGAAGCCGGGTAGCCTCGCGGGAGGCGGAGGAGCCGCCCGACCCGCTTCCACGGACGCCCCGCCGCCGCACCGAGCCCTCGCCGCCCAGGCGGACTGAGACCGGGGGTGGCCGAAGCCCAAGGCTCCGGTCCCTCCCCTCACCCCAACGCCGCTCCGCTCTCCTCGCCCCGGTTCCGGCGCCCGCCCTCCCCGAGGCGCCCGGGGGTGGCGGCGGCGCCGAGGGCCAGCGCCTCGCTTCCGGCCGGGCGCGCGGCCTCTCGGGGCGGCGGCGGCGCCCGGACCTCGGGCCGCGCTCGGTTCCCAGCCCCGGGGACGCGGGGGCGGCGGGGGGCGGGGCGGGGATTAGCCTGGGAGCGGCGCTGACAGCCCCGCTGTGCCGGTCCCCGTCCGGCGGGGCCCGCTGGGCCGCTCAATCCGCCTTTGTTCGCGCGGTGTCACACCGCATTACCCGCATAATGCGGCCGCCGGGCCCGGGCCGCCGGGCCGGCCGCCACCGCGTAGCAACGGGCGGCTCCCGCGGCCGGGCCGCGCCCCCGGCCCCGGCGCCGGCCCGCGAAATCCTCATTGAAGCGGCGCCCCCCGCCCCCGCGCCGCGCCGAATGGCCAGAGGGCGTGTGAATGGCGCGGCGGCCGCAGCGGGCGCGGGGCCGGGCCGCGCGGTGGGGGGCGGCGCTCGGGCCCCTTTCAAGCCGCCTAAGCCCCTCCGGGCCGCCCGCGCCGCCCCGCCCGCGGAACGCGATCCCGGGCTCGCCTGCGCCCCGCCGTCGCGGCCCGTCGCCTTCCGGCCGCCGACCCCCGCGGCCTCCGCCCCACGGGTGCCGCGCGAGTCCCCGGCCGGCCGCGGCCCCGCCTCCGGGCCGGCCAGACCGTGGGGAGCCGGTCCCGGGCTCCGCCAGCGGTGCGCGCCCCGGGCAGGGCGCACCCCCACCCCGCGCCCCCGCGCCCCCTGGCTCTCAAAGCGTGTGTGTGGGTTGGGGTGGAGGGGGGTGGAGTGGGGTCGGGGGGTGCAGAGATGAACGCACCGCGGCCCGCGCGGCGCGGGTGAGGGACTCCCCGACCTTCCCGGACCTTCCTCGGCTTCATCAAATTCCTCGAGTTTCTGACTTATTACCCAGCTCCCAAACCGCCCCCCCACCCCGCGCAACACAGAACTGCCCTCTTGCAATTCAGAGATGAAGGCAGGTACCAGAACCTACAACGTGATGGAAAAAGTTTAGCACAGGCGTGGATGGGTAATAAGCTCAAAGGCCCGATTTTCATTGCCAAATGTCCCAAGAGGGTAAGAGCGATCAGAAGGCGAGTCTTGCTTTTGGGGAGCGCGTCTAGACGCCAGGCTGTTTGATTAAGCGCTACCTGGCCCGAGGTGGGGCACCGGAAGGCGGTGAGACTGACACACCGGGCAAGATCAGGTTTGAAATGCAAACCGCCGCCACTTGGCCCCAATTAGAGGCCAAACCTTTTATGTAAACAAGGAATAATTAGCTTTGGTAATAGAAGCGTAAACAGAATCATCATCCATTGATTCGCTAATTGGTCTTCTGTCCCTTGACAATGGCCTGTAGGTCAGACAGACCCAGCATACCTGAGGCCCAGGTAAAGGGGGACTGCTTACTAAAAGGTAGGGGGGGGTCAGTGCCCCAACCCCCACTCTCCCCATCAGATCCACCTGGCTCTCAGATCCCTTTTCCTTCCGGCTATATAGTTCTTGTAAGAGAAGGGAGGGCCAGGCTCACCAGTTTGGGTGGCAAAGCCCCTGGGGCGGGAGGGTTCAAGTTTCTGCTGAAAGGGAGCAGTGGTCCCAGGAGGCCTGCTGGGGTCATCAAATTCCGGGATGCGGCCATTCCTTAGAGTTGCCCATCTTCAGCCCAGAACTCTCCAGCCCCAAAGTCCCCTTCTCAGGAGCAGTCGTCCCCCTCAACCATCTCCCCCGGTCATGCTTGAGATCAAGTTGTGTGAATGCCATTCATTTCAGGCACCAGCCGGTTAGACTCCTGGTTTGCAGGAGGGCAAGAAAGTTCCCCAGAGTCCAGCCGGCCCTCTAGCCACTCCAGAGTCGGTGGGCAAATCCCCTGTGCAGGGGCGTGGGGGCCGGCAGAATCTTTGCACTGAAACGCTTGGGGGCAATGCAATGCCACCAACACCAGTTTCCTCAGCTCCAGAATTTTCTATATGGGTGGGACCTAGAGGTGGTGATCACCCAAAAGCTAGATTTAAATAGCACTTAACACAGTGTTGGGAAAATGTCACAAATGTCCACAACAAAGCCTGCCCACTGTGCCAGCCAGGTGTGGGGTGGGGAGGAAGGCCATGGCCTCCTGTGCTGTGCTAGGATCTCAGGATATGGAGCATCTCAAAGCTGCTCAGCCCCCAGCAGCACCCGGGAAGGTGTGGCAGGCAGGGTGACAGTCTGGGTCAGTCCAGAGAGGGAGTTGACCCGCTTTTGTGGAGGCTGCGGGGTCCTGATCAGCTTTGTGGCCCTCCCCTGGGGACCCTGGGCTGGGAGCTGAGGCATCCTGAGGGGGAAGGGTCACCGGGTCCTCCTCCCCCACCTCCCGCAGCCCCGCCCCCACCTGCTAGCCGGCCCAGAGACAGTACCTTTGTCCAGGACCGGCCCGAAGATGGCCAGGCTGTCGTCTATGGTGGTGCAGTTCCAGCGGCGGCCCCGGAACTGGTGCTGGCACTCCTGGATGCCCAGTTTCACGCCCTCGGCCACGCTGGGCATGATCTCGATGTAATTCCGGCAGAAGCGCAGCTGCTTGGGGACCAGGCCCGGGATGGAGCCGCAGAGCAGGGGCTGCGAGCCCAGGGATGTGTATTGCTGGCCCAGGGCCAGGGACCTGCGGGCAGACACAGGGTGGTGGCACATGGCCCATCAGGGGCCTTTTTTCTTCCTTGTGAGCCCTCTGGGGTGGGTGGAGCCATGGAGGGCCCCTGGGTCAGCCCGAACCCAGACCCTCCAGCAAGCCGGCGCCTCAGCGTGCTCCCTGCCACTCTGGGGCAGATCTCCGGCCCAGCCAGCAGCCATCTGATGGGGGCATATCTGATGTGAGCGGGGGACTCACAGGGGCACATCGTGAAAAGAACCCTGGACTGGAAAGATGGATTTGGGGCTCCAGATTAAATCCCTCCCAGGCTGTGGGCCAGTTGCCCTGATGGGCCTTGAAGCGGTTGGCCTGGACAATCTTCCACAGAGTCTGAGTTTCTGGGGCCACACAGACTCCAGTGACCCATGGGAAGTAACCCAAACCTAAAGCGAGGGAGGTGGCAGGCTTGACCCCAGTCCCATCTCAGCTGAAGCAGAGAAACAGAGAAGCTCCGGTCCCAGCAGGGAATTCATTACGTACATGTGTGCCTGAGGTTTGCACATGCACGCGCACGTGCGCGCGCGCGCGCACACACACACACACACACACACACACACAGAGCCCATGGCAGTGTCTCTTAGCCGCCTCCTCCGGACGCTGCCTGCCCAGCCAAAAGCCCCCAGTGCCTCCCTAGGGAATCAGTAGCTTCTACTAAGTCCTCTGTCCTTTGTCCCCGGGGGCCTCCGTGACCATCTTGGCAGCTTCCTAGAAGTTTCTGGAGTACCATCTTCCCTCTTACCAGAGACTGGAGCTTGGCTTTGTTTCCAGACAAGTGGAGCTCAGTGTCAGGAGGGAGAAGATCCCAGATCACACTCTGCCGGCCAAGTCCCCTACTCTCCTAACCCTCATTTCTCAATCAATATCCTGTAAACCTCTCAGCATTTTTTTCTTTTAACAGACTGCTTGGACATCAGGACTTTAATTTTTTTAAAGGTTTTATTTTTACTTATTTATTTGTCAAAGGGAGAGAGAGAGCAAGCACAGGTTGCGGGGGCACGGCAGGCAGAGGAGGAAGCAGGCTCCCCGCTGAGCAGGGAGCCTGACATGGGACTCGATCCCAGGACCCTGGGATCATGACCTGAGCCGAAGGCAGAGGAGCCACCTCTCAGTTTTTTTATAGAGTCAGCAGAAGGGAAGGGCTTGTGGGGAGCCAGAATAAGAGTTTAAAATACTAGAAAACCAAGGTGCTGCTCTTCCCACTCTCTCCCTCAGCCCTGGAACAGCAGGAATGACATTTTGCAGGAGAAACTGAGAAAATGATCCGTGGGTCTCAGTGGACTTGAAGGTCCGTTGCCATCAGCCCTGTGATCAGGGACAGTGCGAGCTGGAAGAAGGGTTGCATGAGGCCCACATCTTCCCCCTTCATGCCCATAACCAAGGCTCCAGTCCGGCAGTGACCTCAGTCAAGTCCCTCACACAAAGAGATGACAGAAGCCTTGGGAAGAGGGATCAGAAGACCGCAAATGCAGATCAGGAAAACACAGACACATGCACACCAGCGTCCTGGACTAGACACAGGGCTGAACTCAACGCCTGCCGTTTATCAGCTCTTACGCGGCTTTGCCTGTAGATTTCCGATCACTTCTCCAAGGCGGAGAACATCACTACCCCACACCCCAGACTAGGAAGCTGGGGTTTAGGGAGGAAGTTAGTTGCTCAAGCTTTCCAATGCCCGGCCTGTGTCCAAACACAGCATGCTCTCTGGGCCGAGCCTTTTCCTTGGGTTTGCTTCCCTCAATCCTTAGAACAACTGTAGGATGTGGAAGGGGGCGTTACGGCAGCCCTGTTTTTGGGCGGCGTGGTCTCACGTTCTGAGGAACCAGCCCAGACCACAGAGGGGCTAAGAAGTGGCTCATGGGACCCCATTCCCTCTGACTCCAGAACCACTGTGCCGCCTGCCTTCTGGGCAAGGCCTGCTTGGGGCCGGAGGCAGGAAGGTGGAGAGAGGGGCTGGCTGTAGGCCGGGCCCTTCTGCGCCCTGAGTCTCACCCACGGATCTCCTGCCTCACTGAGCATGACCTGGTCAGCCCAGAGCCCCCGATGAGCACATGGCACACAGCCCCCAAGGGGGCCCAAGGACTGTTCTCTCCTGTCCCAACCCTGTTTACGCTCATAAACAGCTTATCACAAGAACGGTGAGGTTCGAATAGCCATCACTGATTACACGATGAGCCTGTTCTAAGCACTCATGTCTCTCGCCTTAGGTAATCCTCCCCAAACCTCATTATCATCATTATTATCCCATTTCCTAGACGAGGAGACTGAGGCCAGGAAGCTAAGTACCCTGCCCCAGTCTACAGGACTGCACAGACTGCACAGAATTGAGCCTCCCTCCCCATTCAGGGTGTCTCCCCATGTGCTCTTTTTTCTTTTCTTTTTCTCTTTTAAGACTTTGTTTATTTGAGAGAGAGGGACAGAGAGCACAAGTGGGGAGGAGAGAAAGAAGCAGACTCCCCACTGAGCAGGGAGCCTGATGTGGGGCTCGATCCCAAGACCCTGAGATCATGACCTGAGCTGAAGGCAGACGCTCAACCGGCTGAGCCACCTGGGCGCCCCCTCCCCTCGTGCTCTTAACACGGGCCTTGAGCCCCACCCGCCAGCTGTCCCAGCAGCTCTGCGGTCACCCCCGCAGGAACCGGCCCAGGGTTCAGGGTGGAGAGTCAACACAGTGCAGAGCGGGCGGCTTGGGGACAAGGCTCCCCTGGGAAGAAGCCCGGGCTGTCCCCACTCCCTCCTCTGACATTTAAGACCTGATGCCCCAGAGGAGGAGGACAGTTAGAGAGGGGAGCTGAGACCTGATAAGGGACTCTGCCACCCCGTCACCGCACCTGGGTTTGGTCCTGAATGGGGTGGTGATTCTCGGCCCCCTCCCCATCTCCTGGTCTGGCCCCTCCCTGTCCCAGAGCAGCATGGGAAGACCTGGCACCCACTTCCCAGCCTCAGTGTCCATCCCTTTGGCCAGAGTCAGTTTCCCCTGTGTCCCCACCACAGCTAACTCGGTCCATGTCCGGGTCTGGAGGTGTGGACCGTCCCTATAGTGGCCATGCTTGCCATCAGCTTGGCCTCCGGCCCGCACAACACACTCTGATCTGGGCCGGTCTGTCCCCACAGTCACATCTGGCACCAGGGGCCCTGTCCCATGTCACCCCCCATTATTGGTCTGCTCACCAGCCAAGGCTCCGAGTGCCCCAAGGCTCCAGCCTTCTTTTGCCCAGAGATGCACATCCTCCAAGACTCTTCTCCTTCCTAGCTCTCTCCTAGCCCCTTGGCAGGCCTGGCCCCCTCAAGCTAAGCTGAGTCCCGGACTAGAATGAGAACCTACAATAGGAGCCCTATGACAGCACGAAGCCCATTTATACAGGTGAAAAAGTGAGAGGCCCACAGAGAGAGGTGGCTTGCCTGCGGCTGGCCACTGCAGAGAAGGGAGACTGAGGAGTGGGGGTGCCCCTGCTGGCTCTTCATTTCCATCTGGCTAGGCCACTTCTCATCCCAGCCCTCCAAGGGGCTCTGGCTCCTGGTTTCACCAGCCCCCTCCCACAGGGTCCAAGGTGGGCCTCCCCAGCCCAGCAGAAGCCCCGAGCTCTGGGCACTGGCTGGCCACAAAGGTCACAGTTGCTCCCCAAACTTCTCCCAACAGGGAGATACCTCATTCCCTGCCCCTCCTCTGAAGGACACCAAGTTCTTCCTACTGGTCCTACTGGATGACTGTGGTCTCTCCAACACAGGCAGATTCCCTCTTGCCCTCCAAGGTCACGTGCAACTCCAGCAATCATAACAACAACCGTTTCCTTCACACGTCGTATCTACTATCTCAACAGATTTTCACAACAGCTCCCACTGGAGGCGTTGCCGCCCCCATTTCAGAGGGGGAAACCAAGGTGCAGAGAAGCGAGGCACCTTACACAGGGCAATGACTGAGCCAGGATTCAACCCTGGGTTTGTCGGACTCCGAGTATGATACCCTCTGAAAACAACTCTGGGCATGAGAGATGATTTCTTGTGTTTTTGTTTGTTTGTTTTGCTTTTAAACATTTATTTATTTATTTGAGAGAGAGAGCAGGAATGGGAACAGAGGGAGAAGCAGACTCCCCGCTGAGCAGGGAGTACAACACGGGGCTCCATCCCAGGACCCTGAGATCATGGCCTGAGCCGAAGGCAGAGGCTTCACCAACTGAGCCACCCAGGCGCCCCAGAGATGATGAGTTCTTTCCCCTCCCACCAAACCTGGGCTCTACCCTGCTGCCCAGGGGCCAGCCCAGTGCACAGCCTGGAGGCAGGCTGCCCGGCATAGACCCGGCTCTGCTGTTCCCTAACTACTGATCTCAAACAATTCACTCAACCTTTCCCTGCCTCAGTTTCCTCACCTATAAAAGAGACATAATAAGAGGAAGGAATGAGAAAAAGCGTCGAGCACAGAGGAAGCCCTGTGTTTAGAGGCTGTCCCCAGCACTTTGTCCCCTTGTCCTGTCAGTAACCTCCTGCTTCCTGTCCTCCCATTCCTGACTTGACAGAACACACCAGAATTTCCAGAGCCCCTTCCCATCTGTTACTGGGAAGGATACCAAGCTGGCCCTTTCCCCGGCAGCTCAGTCCTAACTGGGGTGGCTGGACACGGATATTTGTGACCTGGCTCAGTGTTAGAGGTAACCCAAAGGACCAGGGCAGGGGGACATTCCCAGAATGCTCCATTCAAGGGTTTCAGCTCGGCTTTGAACATCCTGCTGGTCAGGAGCAATGCCCCCTGGGGAAGGGACTGAGGAGGCCTCGGCTGTGGGACTGATTTCTGCAGGATAGCTGCCCTCTCCCACACATGGCCTGGCACCCCTGACCCTGAGCCTGCTCCCCGCACAGTGCTCAGGTCTGAAACTCCACCGCCACGGATGCATCAATGTCACCCACAGCGCCTTGTCCCCATTATGTGTGCTCCCCTGGGGGAAGTCACACAGTGGGCTTCGTTCTCCTTCATTCTTCCT